GGTTTGCATTCATTAAATTCTTGAATAAAACAAAGGACGCACTTCATTACACTCTTGAATAAAATAATAGTTTGCCAACATTAGACTCTTGAATAAAATAACGAATTGCCTTCATTGGATTCTTGAATAATAGTGTGTCTCTAGTAAATAATAATAGTGTGTCTCTAGTAAATACTTGAATAAAATAACGGACTGCCTTTATTGCAGATTGTGTGTGTGTGTGTGTGTGTGTGTGTGTGTGTGTGTGTGTGTGTGTGTGTGTGTGTTTGTGTCGTTTTTATTTGGATCGGATTTCCCATTTTTCAACCGATTTCAACAAAACTTCACAGGACTACGTAAAATTACCTTGCGGTGGTTGGCAGCACCAAAAATTGGAAAAACACAATTGTTTTTGCACGAAATCAATTTGAAAACACGATTAAGAGGCATCGCTGTCGCGAGAATGAAAGGGGGACAACTCATATCGAGTTATACTTATTATAAAACCCAGGTTGTTTGCATGTGTGTGTGTGTTCGTTTATATATGGGATCGGATTTCCTACATTTTTCAACCGATTTCCACAAAACTTCACTTTTTTTTGGCAGGTAGTTCTTATTGTCTTGCACAGTTTTTTCTTTATTTTTACATTCAGAATGCTTTAAAAATTCCATTTACAAGACAATTGTTTATAATAAAATTCTATTCAATCGATAGACTCATAACGATTAAAAACAATGTTTTTGTTTGAGTTTGGGTTTGACCAATTCATAAAAAAAAAAAAAAAAAATAATTGAGACATGCGTGTCCGTCAACCTTAAACAATAATCTTTGTCAATTTTATTTTTCAGTCTTTATGATGGTCGATACTTGATCTATCTCTTACTGTTACATCCCCGGGCAACGCCGGGTTCTACTGCTAGTTATTGAATAAAATAATTGTCTGTCTTCATTCGATACTTGAATAAAATAAGACGGCATCATTAGATTCTTGAATAATATATTATTTTACCTTCATTTGATTCTGGAATGAAATAACATTTTACCCTCATTACATTCTTGGATGAAATAACGGATTGCCTTCATTAGATTCTAGAATAAACTATTATTTTACTTTAATTACATTCTTGAATGAAATTGTCTTAATTAGATTCTTGAATAAAATAACGATTTACCTTCATTAATTCCTTGAATAAAAAAACGACTCTATCCATAAACTTCATCAATGAAAAAACGAGTTGCCTTCATTAGCTTTTTGAATAAAATAACGAACTTCCTTTATTAAATTTGAATAAAATGATAGACTGCCTTCGTTAGATTTTTGAATAACATAATGGTTTTCCTCCATGAAATTCTTGAATTAAATAACGAACTGCGTTCATTAGCTTCCTGAATAAAATAACGGTCTGCCTTTATTATGTTCTTTAATAAAAAAAACGAACATCCTTCGTTAGCCTTTTGAATAAAATAACGAACTGTCTTCATTAAATCTAGAATAAAATAGCAGACTGCCTTCATTGGATTTTTGAATAACATAATGGTTTGACTCAAGGAAATTCTTGAATTAATTAACGAACTGTCTTCATTAGCACCTTGAATAAAATAAAGAACTTCCCTTCATTAGTTTTTTAATAAAATAGCGAACTGCCTTCATTAGATTCTTGAATAAAATAACGGACTGCTTTTATGACCTTCTTTAATAAAATAGCGGACTGTCTTCATTAGATTCTGTAAAAAAAATAGCGAACTGCCTTCATTAGTCTTTTGAATAAAATAGCGAACTGCCTTCATTAGCTTCTTGAATAAAATAACATTTTGCCCTCACTAACCTAATAAATAAATAACAATAATAATATAAGCTCCTCGTTTAAATTCTCTTTAATTTTTATTCGTTCGAATTTGGACGCGTCACCGTCATCTCAGTGATGATCATACTATTTTCTCCACATTTTGTACAATGAATTGTATTTCAGGAATACAGTGTAAGGACAGGAATTCTGAATGAGACATGAATTCGTTTATTGCCAGTATTGAGAGGAGCGGATTTCGTCCATGCTTGAAATCTTACAATGAGCCATGCAGTTCGGGGCTGTTTTGATGCTTCCACCACACTTTAATGGGCTTATCACAACAAATATGCAAGTAGTCTTTGCCTGACTGAGAATGGAGATCCGTGCGGAAGGCAGCAATGAAAAAATCAAAGGCATTCTTGCTGTTCACACTGGACTGATAAAGCAGACCGCTTTGTTCAAATAAGCGGCAGAACAGACTACAAATGTGTTTGGTGCGAAAACATAAATATTTCTATGAAAGGGTGAATGACTTAAACAAAATCATTTAAAACATAACTTAATAGACACAAATTGGGATAGATAGATAGATAGATAGATAGATAGATAAAGAGAGATAGATATGAACAGATTAAGGTAGATATGAATAGATTTAGATAGATAGATAGATAGATAGATGCGAGCGTATTAGGATATATAGATATGAACCGACTGAAGGATAGATAGATAGATAGATAGATAGATAGATAGATAGATAGATAGAGAGAGATAGATAGATATGAACAGATATAGATAGATAGATGTGAACAGATGTGTACCTTTAGATATGAACAGATTAAGATAGATATATAGATAGATATGACCAGATAATGATAGATAGATAAATACATATGAACAGATTAGGATATTTAGATATGTACAGATTAAGATAGATATATAGATAGATATGACCAGATGAGGATAGGCAGATAAATATATATGAACAGATTAGGCCATTTATATATGAACAGATTAAGATAGATATATAGATAGATATGACCAGATGAGGATAGACAGATAAATATATATGAACAGATTAGGCAATTTATATATGAACAGATTAAGATAGATATATAGATAGATATAACCAGATAATGATAGATAGATAAATACATATGAACAGATAAGGATATTTAGATATGTACAGATTAAGATAGATATATAGATAGATATGACCAGATGAGGATAGACAGATAAATATATATGAACAGATTAGGCAATTTATATATGAACAGATTAAGATAGATATATAGATAGATATAACCAGATAATGATAGATAGATAAATACATATGAACAGATAAGGATATTTAGATATGTACAGATTAAGATAGATATATAGATAGATATGACCAGATGAGAGATAGATAGATAGATAGATAGATAATGTTGAGCCTCAGATAGATATATTTAAACAGACTGTCAAAAGAGAGAGAGAGAGGGGGGAGAGAGGGAGAGAGTTATATAGAAAGGGGAAAAGAAAGAGAGAACCCTATGAAAGAATATATGCGCTTGTTTACGAGAGGCATATATATATATATGAGAGAGGAGGAAATGCGCGCACGTAGAAAATGTTTCTTGTCCAGCGATAATTTATGCCAACGCATCCACTCTTAGAAACACAGTGATATATTCGTAAAAACCCACCCGAATTTTCGAGTACATAGCGGTATCTCCACCCACCCCCTACACACACATACAAAAGAACACATGCAGAAACTCAGACCCACAGACCCTCACACGCAAACGCACAAACAGGATTTGGTGGGTGCTATTTCCCACATATTAACCAGAGTCGTATGCAAGGGCAGACGGTTGACTGACCACACATTGCGAAACGAATCTAAGATAAACATCCCCGTCGTCTCTCAGCGTTTTCTTCGTCATTTGCTTGTTTCACGGTGGACTGGACATTGTTGCTGAATCCGTTCTGTGTTGGGCAGACAGCGGATTTTATGGCTCGACAACGAGGCCGGCGTTTAGATTTGAATTCGCCTAATTCATTCCAGAACAGATGGCAGTGACCCATAGGGAGAGGGAAATCACAAGGAAATGGGACGCGGAGGAAGGGATACAGGAAGAAAGTAAGGACGTGGTAGGAGAATGGGAATAAGAAGGACGTCTATGGGTGGGTCTCCACTGATGATTAGAGTTAAAAGAAAGAAAGAAAGAAAGAAATGAATGAATGACCGAACGAATGACGAGGACAGTATTAGAGCAAAAGAAAAAAGAAAGGATATAAGCATTTCTTTCTTACATCACTATGTAAGAAAGAAAGAAAGAAAGAAAGAGTGTTTAGAAGAATTAAAAAGAAAGAAATCGTGTAAATAGTGATTTAAAAAAAGCAAGTAAAAAAAAAATGAAAGAAAGTAAAAAAGAGAGGAAAGAACAAAAAAAGAACAAAAAAGAAAATGAAAGCAAGAAATGGCATACGAGTAATGAGAAAGGAAGAAAGAAAGAAAGAAAGAAAGAAAAAAGAAAGAATGATGAGGCCGGTATTAATGCAAAAGAAAAGAAAGAAAGAATATAAGCATTGTGATGTAAGAAAGAAAGAAAAAAGAAAGTGTAAAGAAGAATGTAAAAGAAAGAAGGGGCGTAAAGAATGATTAAAAAGAAAGAAAGTAAAAAGTAAAAAAGGGAGGAAAGACTAATGAAAAAATGTTAAAAAGAAATAAAGAAAGAAAGAAAGAAGAAAGAAAGAAAGAAAAAGATAAAGAAAAAGAAGAAGACGTAGGATGCGGGTTATAAGAAAGAAAGAAAGAAAGAAAGAAAGAAAGAAAGAAAGAAAGAAGAAAAAGATAAAGAAAAAGAAGAAGACGTAGGATGCGGGTTATAAGAAAGAAAGAAAGAAAGAAAGAAAGAAAGAAAGAAAGAAAGAAAGAAAAAAGATAAAAGAAAAAGAAGAAGACGTAGGATGCGGGTTATAAGAAAGAAAGAAAAGAAAGAAAGAAAGAAAGAAAGAAAGAAAGAAGAAAAAGATAAAGAAAAAGAAGAAGACGTAGGATGCGGGTTATAAGAAAGAAATAAAGAAAGAAAGAAAGAAAGAAAGAAAGAAGAAAAAGATAAAGAAAAAGAAGAAGACGTAGGATGCGGGTTATAAGAAAGAAAGAAAGAAGTTGGTGGATAACGAAAAAAGAAAAAAGGTTGAATGATCAAAAGAAGGAAAGAATAATAGACAATGAAAGAGAGAAACGGTTACGAAATAAGAAAGAAAGAAAGAAAGAAAGAAAGAAAAGAAAGAAAGAAAGAAAGAAAGAAAGGGAGGGAGGAAAAACAAACAAATGGGTTGCTATTAGTAATAAAAGGAAAGAAAGAAAGAAAGAAAGAAAGAAAGAATAAAGGAGAAGCTACTAATAAGACAGAAAGAATGAAAGAAAGAATAAAAGAAAGAAAGAAAGAAAGGGAGGGAGGGAGGAAAAACAAACAAATGGGTTGCTATTAGTAAGGAAAGAAAGAAAGAATAAAGGAGAAGCTACTAATAAGACAGAAAGAATGAAAGAAAGAATAAAAGAAAGAAAGAAAGAAAGAAAGAAAGAAAGAAGGATTGAAATAAAGGAACGAACCAACAAAACAAACAAACGGGAAATAAAAAGAAATGAAGAAAGAAATATTTATTTTAATAGTATAAAAATGAGAAAAAGTTAGAAAGAAAGACTTATTTTAATAATATAAAAAAAAAGAAAGAAAGAATAAAGAAAGAAAGAAAAAGAAAATCGATGCTTGTAATGAACGAAAGAAAAACACTTCTTCGGAGATGATTAAGTAAAGAATAAGCCCCCTCCCCCACTGCCGCAAAGAAAAAAAAAAGGAAAGGAAAAGGAAGGAAAAATAGCATTTGTTGATAATCAGGTGAAGAAAGGAAGACATTCCGTGATGTGAATAATGCATGTGTTACCCTTGAGGATTGTTTTGGCACTTTCAATGATGATTCATAGAAACAAGCACAAGTGGCCAATCATGTTTCAATTGACATTTAATTTATTACCGGAAATGTCCACAACCGCCTGAAGCGTTTCTCCCCGGCGTTTTCTGCACTTAGAATATGGTTTGTTACTGATGGAAGCAGTACTTCCAGACGCAGGGAATTTATTATCTTTGACGAAAGCATTAAAAGTGACAAGTAGATTTTTCCGGAGTTTATTTGCGAGATCTAACCAGCCAACTACTACGTGATAAATGACTAAAAGAATTTATTAGTAAGAAATAACAGGCGTCCTGTAGACTGCCATCTTTTAATTCGACTAATATTTGATGAAAGGATTTTATTTATATTTGCTGATTATCAACAAAATTTCTACAAATACAAGATCTTTAGTCCGACATACTTATAATCCGACCAACATTTGATTTCAGCGGAATGTGACCAGATGAGGTTTATTTTTCAATATAGACCCCCACTTGCGGTCCACACACTTCTTCCATTGGTGTTCAGGGTTTGGTTCCCATTGGTGAAGAAGCTTTCATCCTATTGGTCGAAAAAGTCATCAGCAGTAGATATGACGTCATCATCACCGCGATACTGCCAAGTGTGTCCATCTGTATGTGTGTGTGTGTGTGTGTGTGTGTGTGTGTTTTCATGTTAGAGAACAGATAACAGTCAGATGGAGCCAAATCGGGAGAATAGGTCGGCTAATAAACCAGTCACAGTTCCTGATAAAACAAAATTCTTTTCATCAGCTTTCCTGAGTGTTTGATCTTGATTCAATTCTTTCTATGTGCCGTGTCCTTTCAGGACGTAGGCGATCATGGCTCTCCACCTCCCTCTATCCCTTGCAGCTCTCAACACGTTCTTTCCCTCTGCCACCTCCCCCAGACCACGTTCTTTTATCCACTTTCTTAAGGCAACTAGGTATGTCACGTGTTGTTTTCCCTTGATTCTCTTTCCCGCCATTCGATCGGTGAGTATCAGATTCTCCAGGCACTCTTTCCTCATTATGTATTCCAGGAACATCAGCTGCCTCTTCCTGGTTTTAAATATAAGCCTCCTTGTTTGCATCCACTCCAAGACCTCATCGTTGCTCACACGCTCTGTCCATGATATTCTTAGCCTCCTTCTGTAGAACCGTATCTCCATTGCCCCGTTTCTCTTCTTCATCTTGAGGAAATCGTCCAACATTCGCTGCCGTAAAGAAGGACAGATGTCACATAAAAGCTCAGTATTCCAAAGAAATCCTCCTGTCTCGTAATACTCTGCCCAGCTTTTGGAATGTGTCCTTGGCCATCCCAATACGTCTACGGATCTCAGTGTCGCATTTACCGTCCTCTGTCAAGACGCTTCCCAGATATTTAAAATTCCTCGTCTGCTTGATTCTAGTGTTCCCGACCTGCAGATCGCATTTCGGGCTCATCCTCTTACTGATGACCATGCATTCTGTATTCTTGTTGTTTGTGCTTAGTCCCTTCTTCACACTCTCCTTCTCTACCTTCTGTAGAAAGTTTTGTAATTTCTTTTCCGTGTTTGCTATCAGTATTGTGTCATCTGCGTATCTTATGTTGTTAAGATTGTGGCCGCCAATGCTAAATCCCGGTAAGGTTTTAAATTCTCTCAGAATTGCCTCAGTGTATGCCTCAGCAAATTGATAAAGTATTCTCCATTGATAGTGTCACCCTTTTGATGATCGTAAATAAACCAAAAGAAAGTGAGGTTATCACCTTCGTTGCATATAAAACGACCTAAGCCTTCTTTGGAGCAGATGAGGAAGGTTTTTCTAAAGCATGGATGATCTCTTTTTAACTGGCTCAAAATAATGTATCCAACACTTACCCTGGGTGTGTCAACGTTCAAGGAAACCAACGAGTTCTGCCTCAACGTCGGATTTTCCTGTGAGGTGATGAGATCTGGCTGGTGCGCTTTTGATCAGGAGCCAAAAGACGTGGCACACAACGAGCAGAAACATTCGCCATGCCAAGTTCATTGTGCCGAATAGTCTCATCTCTCTCACGGATTATGCTAAGAGCATTGGCTATTTGATTTATGTAGTAAAGAGGATCAACGTTTTACTTGGTGGTGACAGTTGATGGAAATCCAGATCTTGGGTAATCTTCAAGACTCTCCCTTCCCCTCGTAAATTCAGATGACCACATTTGCACTGTATTTAAAATGGGGTATCATTGCTTAATGTAGCAACTATGTCAGTATGAATGTCCTTGGAAGGTAAACCCTTTTTCTACAGGTATTTAAAACGCCAAGAATCTTTTTTTTTTCAATTGCAAAAGAAGTCGCTACTAGTTGCATTTGAAGTCCTCTTTGACCAGTCAGATATCAGTTTACCTGAAAAGAATCAAGTTATTAATAAAAAGAGTTGACATTAATGCATTACCCCTTCATAGTCAGCCTATAAACTTTTCACCCCAGCCTCATATTCATATTTGCTGTTTATCTATGTTGCAGTTTTTTTGTGTATACTATGTGACTAGTGAGCTAGCCCAAATGACTTGACTCGCTTTATAGTCCATCAATAGAAGGTTAACCAATCAGAAGACGTAGAATATTCAATCCGTCGTGTATAAAGGCCGCCATTTTGTTTACCCTACCCGAATGTCTAGTTCCAGCTCGTCAGGCGAAGAGGAACAGAAGGACGAACTACTGCTACTTTTACCAAAATGTCCACTGCTAACTTGATCAACGCCTTCCTACTGTTTTCGAAATATTCACTGCTAACCTCTGGATTCTATACTCAAAGACGACCGTCATCATGCACAACAATCTGTCAGTAATATCGAGCAAATATGACATCGAAATCATTACGAGATCTGGATTTTTGAAAATATTGGATTTATTTTTAATCCGACATTTTCATTACATCAAAAGTTATTATAATGGATATTCGTATTTGAAATAGACGCCCCATTTTGTATGCATTAAACAGTGTGTATTACGTCTATCGCCCTGCGCTTTTCGAGAAATATTACTAAAGAAAACGTGTTCCCCAGCATGGATTGAACGTGAGACTCCCATTGTAAGAGCAATCACAGTAAGTGTGTGTCATCGCTCGGCCACGGGGAACATCACAGCAAGAAATGTTCTGTTTTTCCTTTTCAAAGAAAACATGTCCTGTCCACAGATTATTTTCTCGGAAGCTAAGTATCAGCTCAGTTGCGTATCCAAACCATAAAAACAAGAGATATTTTTGTAAAGAATTGATTAACTTATTTTTAATCGGACATTTTTTTTAGGAAAACATGCCTCTCAAAATCTAAGTAATGTACTAAGAAACAAGAAAATTTCCTTAGAAGCAACAAAAAAAGAAAAGAAAAAGAAAGCTGAACTGCTATGTAATGCCAATCCTTTCACATGCATGACCTTAGTATAAACTTCTCATGACCAGGGAATTGTCTCTCGAAGCCCCAAACTATTCCTTCGTGTGTTTCCTCTCTTTTATAAATGAACTGTGTTAGTTATCATTTTTTCCATTATGGCTCCCACTCTTGCCCAGACTGCAGTATGTTAAACGCAATAGCTAACAGTATAGAAAAGGCGATTTCTCTCCATCTATGTCTTCGATTACTTTAATGCTCACCACGACACGTGCCTGAAGCATTCTAAAGAAACTGATATTGCCGGTATACAGATATTAATTTTTTCCAATGCTAATCCCTCAATTAAATCGTGGACATGCATACCCATTTCTCTAGCCAAACCGAGCAACAGGTTTCTCGACTGGATGTATTTCTTACCTCTTCTTCTCGCTCTTACTGAGCTTCTCAATACTGCCCCTGGGTAATTTGGGCCACTCTGTGATAGCTGTTGTTATCTCCTTCCAAGCATCCATTAAACATGTAACCCCTATCTATAAGACCTCTTTCCGGGACCAGCATGCTGATTAGAACTTATTCTGGGAATTTCTTCATGACGCTCTTTGGCGTGACATCTTCTAACTCACAACTAAAAATTGCACCACTGAGGATTCTTCTTGAGTGAATGGACGCTTTCATCCCTTTCTGGGAAATACTAGTTGAAACTGCAATCCTTTCCATGGTTCACACCAACATGTTCGGCCGCCATAAAACACAGGAACCACTATTTCCGAATATATCAGCGTGACAGCTCTCGTTATAAGAGGGGCCAATAACCTACTACTGTAACAAATGTAAGCTAGTCCTCAAAGTAACTAATTCCCTGTTTACCGAGAGAATGGGACATCGCATAGAAGCTAAAAACGTTGGCTCTCATGATTACTGGCGTCTCTGTAATAGGGTACTTAATAAGTGCAAGGTCTCTGTTCCCCTCCTCTTCCATCGATTTGAGGTGTTATCATCCTCTGCTGATAAAGTTGTATGCTTTGCCCATAAATTCTCCTCAAACTCTACTCACGGTCCATCTGGAGTAGTGATTTTCCAAGTGTAGTTTAGATGTGGCTCAATGCCGAAAGTATGGGGTACCCAGTGAGGATCGATCTCACTGCTCAATCGTAAATGTTCTAGCGAGACAATCT